AAGTTTTCTAATCCAGGCCTCGGGCTCGAAGTGAGTGGATACAAACTCAGTGGCCCTTTTGGGAGTGGAGGGCCCTTCTCAGTGTCCTCCAGTAAGAGGGAGTAAAGGAAAGAACCTAGGGAAAGTGGGCAGACTTGTTTTTAGGTTATATTTGTGGCCATGATGGGGTAGACCAGGAGAAGACAGACAGCCATACACTTTCCTAGTAATGTGGATGTTGGAGAAATTTTTTTTTTCTTTTTTAAATTTATTTTTGGCTGTGTTGGGTTTTCGTTGCTGCGCGCGGGCTTTCTGCAATTGTGGTGAGCGGGGGCTACTCTTCGTTGCGGTGCGCGGGCTTCTCATCGTGGTGGTTTCTCTTGTTGCAGAGCACGTGCTGTAGGTGCGCGGGCTTCAGTAGTTGTGGCCCGTGGGCTCAGTAGTTGTGGCTCATGGACTCAGTAGTTGTGGCGCATGGGCTTAGTTGCTCTGCAGCATGTGGGATCTTCCTGGACCAGGGCTCGAACCAGTGTCCCCTGCATTGGCAGGCAGATTCTTAACCACTGTGCCACCAGGGAAGTCCTGGGAGAAATAATAGTTCTTTTAGGTTAACTGTCCCAAGATCATGCAGCTGGATGAGGTGGAGCCAAACCTTGAAACTTGGGTGTGTCTGAACCCCAAGCCTGCCTTCTTCCTTCTGTCTCAGGTCCTCAGTGCTGCGGACAAGGGGAGACTCAAAGGGCAGATTGCCTGAGTGGAGAGCCAAGGGTTTGAGGTGCAGGAGCCCAGGGAGGAGGCGGAAGGGTTGGGATCTGCCCAGACCAGCCCCAGGCTTGGCCAGACTTTTCCCCTGGCTTGGAAAGGTGCAGAGTGGGGAAAATTTTAGGTGCTCCTTGGGGCTCATACCGCCTTAGCCTAGTTGCCTCAGGTAAGGACTGACCTTGTCTGTCTTTTCTTTTTTCTTTTCTTTCTCTTCCCTTTCTTTTTCTTTCTTTCATCAGATTTTGCCACCTAATTAGCCAGAGCCTTTAGTTGATCAAACTCCTTTTAAAAAATATTTATTTGTCTGCGTTGGGTCTTAGTTGCAGCACACAGGCTTCTCTCTAGTTGTGGCACGTGGGCTCCAGAGCGTGTGGGCTCAGTAGTTGGGGCGTGCAGGCTTAGTTGCCCGGTGGCATGTGGGATCTTAGTTCCCCGACCAGGTATCGAACCTGCATCCCCTGCATTGGAAGGTGGATTCTTAACCACTGGACCACCAGGGAAGTCCCTCTTTCCTTTATTTATGTCCTATTCTACTTGGCCATCCAGTTGCGTTCTTCCTGCCTTGTGTTCCTTTCTCCTAAGCTTTTGTTGTAGGCCCGGCTGCCAGGAGTGTCCACGGGCTCTGCTCCCCTGGGCACCCTCTGGCCGGAGAGGCTGCTGAGGTCCAGAACCAGGGAAGAAGAGACGAATGCAAGAGGAACCCTAAGCACAGTGAGTAATGATCCCAAAACTTGTACGTCAAAGGGCTCCTGAGACTCAGAAGGGAAGTGACTTGCCTGGAGGGCACCTGGATAGTGGGTGGCTGAGCTGGAATTCCAGCTCAAGTCCGACCCCCAGGCCTGGCCTCGTCCCACTACTTCTGGACATGTGTTTATTAGCCAGCAGAAGCGGGCAGAGAGCTGCGTCTACCCGGTTTAGTTTACACTTCAGGACACCATTTTTACGTACAGTTAAACATGGAGATGTTCAGAGCAGGTGGGGAGGTTGTCTTGTTCTCTCAGGCAAAGGAAAACATCGTGTTGCAATCCTGATCAAACTGACCTGTGCAGCTCTCGTGGCCGGTGGGGTGGGGTCGAAAGGTAGGCAGGGTGCAGGGTAGGGAGTAAGGGAGATAACCCTGATGTCCAAACAGCAGAGGAAGATGGGAAGCAGGGAGGGTACTGACGTTTCCTGAATGTCTTTATCTAGGGGCCATGCCCTCCCTTTGCACAAAATATTTCAAAAGATAGGAATTGTTACCCCGTTTACAAATATGAATTGTGACCTCAGTGAGAGCTTCCGTAACGCACTGCATGTCACAAAGCAAGTAACTGGGAAAGTCCGGATTCTAACTCAGGTCTCTCTGACTCCAAAGCCTGTGCTCCTTCCTCTAAACTGGTTCTGATGAGATCAGCAGACCCTCAGTGCCTTTGCTGCTGAGGGAGAGCCATTTCTCAGTATCGATTCCATTATGGTGAATATCATCTTGGCAAAAATCTCCCGGACTGGCTAAGTCCCCAGCATCTAGCCTGATGCCTGGGACACAGTAGGCCCTCAGTAAATGGCTGTTTGAGCTTTAACAGGAACAGTGAGGAGGCAGTAGGCATAGAGGACACTGACCCTTCTTTGGAAGTAGATGAGGTTCTGGGTGCTGATGAGGGAGTCCCTCTGAAAGCCCCAACCTCCTCACAAAACCCAACACTCCTGCAGACTGTGACCACCTTCCACTGACAACTGATCCTGCACAAGATCTTTAAGCGGTGGGGGACTGGGCTGGACTCTCCACAGGGAGAATTGCCCAGACGTCACTGGCTCTCTGCCCTGCAAGCTGAAGATCTAAGACAGATGGTGGCCACGGATGTGGGCCCAGACGATCAGCAGAATACAGTGCGTAACCCTGGCACGCTGGAGCAGGAAGCCTCACCCTCGGCAGAGACTAGAACAGGGCCTCAGAGACTTGAACAAACATCTGCCCCTGCTAGTAGCGCAACATACTTCCGTGCTCCTCAGCCCTTTCGTGGCAGTCTTCTCTGCCTGGAATATGGCAAAAATTGTGTCATCTTCCCCACTAAACAAAACTCTTCTAAGACTGCGACTCTGCTCGTCATTGTTCCCCAGCAGCTAGCCCAGGGCTAGCCACCAGTGCTTGTTGAATGGGTGAACGAAGAAATGAGAGCATCTCTTGTGTACTGGGAGCTCAGGGCACCGTGCTGGCGAGTGGTGGACTTTCTGGACCCACGTGATTCACTGGTGATGTCAGGTAGTCAGCTTCTGCCCTCCTGGTGGGAGGAATGCCCAAACCTACTTGAGCTGGTGGGGAAGAGAGATCCAACCCTGTTCCAGAATCTGGAGGGCTCCTTGGGAGCCCTGCCTGAGTTCCCTTCCGGCGGCAAGGGGACTCCTTGGTGAGAACTGTGGCCAGCACAGCCAGAGATAAGCAAGCAGATAGAAGCCTGTAAGATGACTTAGAGAAGAAGCTTCCTGTGTTTTGGCTGCTCAGACAGGAAGAGAGGGCAGCTTAGCTGAAGCTGGCAAATCCTGAACCCCCTTGTAAATAATGTGAGAAAGGGGGCACCAAGAGGATGATCTTGGAGGCAGCCCCAGTGTGGTCAGTAACCCGCAGAGCGCTGGGATCCCAGGACATGCCACATCAAGATGTGTACTAAAGGGCAGTGAAGGCAGTCACCAGAAGGGACTTAGGTCTGTCAGACCTGCCCAAGCTAGCTGTGGAGTGCCAAGGGCTTTGCTGGCCTGACTGCTAACCATTTTTTAGGACCAAAGTGTGGATAGTAGGAATCTTCCCAGGGGACTCTAGGGGATTTTAGTGGGCGCTCACTTTGGGGTCCTGCAGCCTCTAGGTTGATATTTGCGAAGAATCTCAGCCCAGCAGGGATGGAAAGAGCTAGTGAGCATATTTGGCCCCATACCCTCATTGCAGCGATGGGGAAAGATTTACCCAAGGCAAGGGTAGTAAAAAGAAAAAACATTGAATTTGTTATTTCCAAAAATAGCACTGAGGTGGACAGTACAGGAAACAATAAAATTTATATTACAGTTTCATAGTGTTTTTATTTGATTTACTCGTGGTGGGAGAATGTGCATCTTCTTCGCATTAGGGTCTCTGAATGTCTCAGGCCGGCTCTGAGCCCAGACATCCCAAGTAACTTTTTCAAGGTCGCTCAGGGAATCAGAGGTGGGGCTGGACTCTTAACATCCTCTCAGTTCAGTGCTCTGCGCTGCAGTGACCTGTTGCATAATACGAAATAACTGTGGCTTGTCTTCTCTTTTATGAAATTTCCATTTGGTCCTTTGCGACCCGTCAGCAGTCCGGTTGCTGGTGAGAGTGATGATGTCTGTCTTCCGGGACGTCCAGTGGACGGATTTTACCTGGGTTTCTGGATACAGCCCCATCTAGCAAAAGCACTAACACCGATTTGCGCCAGAGACGCAGACACGGGGGACACGCAAATGCTAAAACAACACTTGCAAGTGTTTGCCCTCCCGCACAGGGCACAGGGACCCTGCCTCCCCCTCCCCCAATCTTTGCCTGGGTGGCCGAGCCCTGGGCTCCGCCCCTTCCCCATCAGACCGGGGGAGGGGTCCTCCTAGGCGCGGAGGTAGCGGACGCTTGGCGGCTGGAGACGTGGGCAGAAAGAGGCGGGACAGAGGGGGTGCCAGGGGACTGGGTCTGGCCGCCTGGGTCCGCCGCGCGCCGCCGCCCCGCCCAGTCGGGTGGTGCAGCCCACGTCCCGCCACGCGGTGAAGTTTGCGGAAAGTTGCTTCCCAGCCCGCGCCAGCCGAGGAGTTGTGACGCAGCGTCTGGGGCTCCAGGCCCGGACAGAGAGGGAAGGCGAGGCGGGGAGACAGGGAAGCGGAGAGCGAGAGAAAGAGTGCACGCCGGGGTCCTCCTCGACCCCGCGGATCCTTCTCTCCCGCCTCCCCTCCCTCTCTCTCCCTCTCGGCGCGCTCTCTCGGGCCCCCGCCTCGGCCCCGCGCCCGCCCGCTCCTCCTCCCCTTCCCCTCCCACGCTGCCCGCTTCCCTTCCCCTCTGCCCCTCAAACCCTCCTCCCGGGTTCTGCGCTCCTCCCTCCGCCCTCCCTCCTCCCGGCCTGCCTCCTTCCCTCCTCCTCCCCTCCTCGCCCCGGGAGGCATCACTTCTTCCCGGCCCGGAGGAAGACGCGAGCCCCTCGCGGGCGGTCACCACAGCCCAGCGCCGGGGTCGCCACCGCGCGCCGCGCCCGTGCGCCCTCGGTCCCTGCGTCACGCGCCACGCCGCGGGTATGGGGCCCGGCCGCCCGGCCCCTGCGCCCTGGCCTCGTCACCTGCTGCGCTGCGCCCTGCTCCTCGGGGGTCTGCACCTCGGCCGCCCCGGGGCCGCCGTCGCTGCCCTGTCGGGTAAGGCGCTGCCAACTTGGCCAACTTCGGGGGCGGGCGGGGGGAGCGCCGGGGAGCGGGCGTCTCCCGACTTTTCCCTCCTTTTTTTTTTTCTCTCAGAAGTTGTGTGTGTGTGTGTGTGTGTGCGCGTGTGCGTGTGTGACTGGGTTTTAAAAAATCGTCTCCGCTTTTCTGAAAGCGGGGGAGAAGGGAGGAGGAGCGCGCCTGGAGGTGGGGGGAGGACCTGAGTGGAACCAGATGTGGCGGGCGGCGGGGGAGGGGAGCCCGGGGGTCTCGAGCCGCCTCGGAGGAAGAGGGCGGGCTCTGGGAGGACCCCCGCGCCCGCCCTCTGGGACCACCCGGCGCCGGCCCTGCCCTGGGCCCGGGGACAGGCAGGGCGCGTCCGACAAAACCAGGGGAGGCTCCAGGCCGGGCTCCTTGCTTTGCTCCAGGACCGATGCATTACTGTTGTTTTTAAATTACTCGTAAGGGCTTGTTTGCCTTTACCGGCACCTCGGGGATGTTTGTATTTTCTTTTCCACACTTGGTCTTCAAGGACAGCCTGTGGCATGCGGCGTCCGCACCAGTTGAACGCAGCTCTGTGGGGCAGTTTTGTGCCATCAGGAGGATGCAGCGACAGGCTGGGCACGGTGTGCGTGTGCGTGTGCGTGTGTGTGTGCGTGTGGTGGTGTAGTGTTGTGTGGGCGGCTCTGGCCAAGCTGGCACCCCTCCAGAAGGGACAGATCTTGGGCGGCAAAAAAGCTGCTAAAGATGCAAAAACCCACCCGACAGAAAACAAAAACCAGAAGCTGTGCATTCTTTCTGCTGGTCTTTCAAAGGATGACAGTGAAGTGTGGGGACAGACAGACCCCTCACCAGGAATTCCAGAGGGAAAGGGAAAGATCTACTTCCTGGGGGGCTTGCAGAAGTCAGAGCTGGAACTGCCAGGGAGTGTGGTTATTACAGCCCCATTGCTGGGCCTGTTAAGCTTGGTCTTGCTTTATGTTTCATTTGGGGAGGGGGCTGAGTGAAATGGGACAGTCAGTGCAGCGTGTGCAGTTTTGTGCCAAGTCCAGACAGCCCCATGGAGGATCTGGGGCCTCTAGCCACAGCCAGTGCTTGCTGGGTTGGCCTGCCCCACTGATGGATGGCGTGATGTAGGCGACCAAGACACGTATTTGCTCTGATTGTGCCCGAATTGTGCCGATGGGAGAGGTGGGGGCCGGGTGATGCATATTCACACCGGGCAGAGCCCCTCTGCTGAATTCCAGGCCCACCCGGAACTGAATGTCAGGCAAACACAAACCAGGAAATACCTCCCTGTCCACTGCAGGTCCAGGCACCCAGGCTGTTCCCCTGCCTCCCTGCATCTCACTCCTCTGTGAAGGCAGGCTGGGTGGGAGGGGTGGAGGAGCATGGCTATTCCAAGAGCCCCAGAGCACACTGTAAAGCCAGACCCTGGGAGAGTTGTGGCCAGAGTGCTGACTTGGCCTTTTCCCCTATGGAGCCTTTGACAGAGGGAGCTGGAGATGTCTGGTGAGAGGCCAGGTCAGGGAGGATGCCTGGAGTGGCCCTCTGCCTCTGCGTCTCCTCCAGGCCCCCCTTGCCCTTCCTCAGGCTGTCCCTGGGCTTGTATCCCCCATAGCCTCCGAGAGGCCAGTCCCCAGGGCAATGCATTGATCACCCCAGAGAAGCTTAGGTGTGGGCAGGGGTGGATGGAGGGGAGCTGGTGATGAGGGTGGGGGTGGGGTGGGGATAGCCTGGTCTCCAGAGCAGCAGCTGAGCAAGAGAATGTTGAAATTGTTGCAGGTACTGTCCCTGCCCTGTTCCCTCTGCCCAGAATACTCCTCTTCTAGCCGAATTCTTTCCTTATCCCCCTGTACCTGACGAATTAGGTGGTCACTGGGAAGAATTTATCAGCACCACACTCCAGATGGCCCCAGGAAATGCTCGTGGGAGATAGGATTAGGCTTGGCAGGCCAGTGCTGTGGGGGTGAAACTTACCCTGGGGGTGACGTGCACGTGGTGGCTTCCTGACCACCAGTAGGGGAGAGGATGGGGCACCGCAGAGCCCCTTGGGGGTGGCAGGGCAGCAGCGCCTTCTTGGTGTGGAATGGCAGAATCCATCTTTTCTCCACCTGCTGTGGAGTACCCAGAGGGGTGCCCTGCAAAACTTGGGGCTGGAAGACCTCTTTGTTAATTGCAGTGTTGATGCATTTTTGTATCCTTCGCTGCTCCATGCTGAGCCAACTACTTGGGGAGGAGGGAAGGTACAGGGGAGGTGTAAGTTGCATCCTTAGAGAAGCAGAAGAAACTGTGTGGGGCAAAGGGTCACCAAGGCCTTTGGGAGGGACCAGGCTTTGCAGACGTGGGGAGGGGAGCGGAGAGGGCGAGACAGGCAAGGCGGCCTGGGCTGTGCTGGGGATTCTGTGGAAGCTTGCTGGGCTGCGGTGGAGAGTTCCTGAGTTGGGTGGGGGAGAAGCTCGAGCAAAGAGGAAACTGGCCAGCTTTCCGGGAGGCCAAGGTGGGGGAGCAACTTGCTGGCTGGCGGTGGGGAGCCCTGGAGAACCCCTGGGAGCTTCTGACCAGAGGAATGAGGTGCAGATTGGAAAGAGCGTTGCTGGGAGCCCCAGGCATCAGATATCCAGGTCCAGGAGTGAGGAGACCTTGGGAGATCTTGCTGTGGGGACAGACCCTGCTGTCTAAAGGACAGGGAGGGAGGCACCCTTTTGGAAAGGCAGCAGGTACTTGCTGCTGCTGCCAGAGTCAGCCGGACAGATGGCCTGCACTTCTGGCCTAGATCCTGGTGAGTCATGGAGTTCAGAGCTTTCTTACTGCCCCTCCACCCAGTCTTCCTTTCTCCAGCCCCTTGCCTTCTGTGAGCTGCCAGGGCTGAGATAGTGCCCAGCTGAGCTGCAGTTAGTGCTGAGATCCAGTCCTCTGCTGGGTTGACCTGGACAAGGTGAGGGTGCAGGCAGGGGAGGAGGAGGCCAGGGTCTTGGTCCCCATTGTTCACAATAGGGAAATCTCATCAGTTTCCTGATGCCTGCAGGGTACGGTTGATTGGGGCCGGTGAGATGATTTCAGAAGCGCCATGAAATTCTCAGAAGAGCATTCATTTGGATTCACCACTAATTTAAGCGTTAAATAGGCCCCCTGTTGCACCCTTCAGAGGGATGAAGTGGTAACAGCGGTGGCTACCATTCTTCATGCTCTGGGTGCTGTGTGGCATACTGTAGAACAAGGGCTCTTGCATCTCTCACAACCCTGGGATGTGTTATCACCCATCTCACACACTGCTGGTCAACAGACTAGCGATGTTAAGTCGTTTGCGCAAGAACACACGGCTAGAAAGAGGTGAAAGCGAGATTCGAACCCAGGTGTGGCCACTGAGCCTGAGCACTTAGGTACCAGACCACGCTGCATCTCCATAAAATGAACTTTGCCAGAGTGTTAGGAAAGGCTGGAAAATTCTGCTTTAGGGGCTTTCCCCCAAAGCCCCAAGTCCTCCAGAACATCCTCTCAATGTGTCCCCCTGAGAGGAACCCCGGGAAGGGGGTAGAGTGGGCGGCCCTCTGTTACACCCCAGCTGTCTGGATGCTTGTCTCTTCCCCAGCCCCAGGGGCCCCAGACGCAGGGATGGAGCCCCCCTCAGTATCCTCGGGGGTCTGAGGTGCCTGCTCCTGAGGGACTGAAGGGGCCCGATGGAGGAGGAGCCCCGCTTCCCTGCGGTCAGGGATTCATATTTGTTCATCCAGTCAGTCAGAGGATGTTCACCGAGCCTGCGCGGTGCTGCGGGAACGAGTGACTGCGGCCTGTTCTTGTGAGCCCACCTCCCCTGCACCCCCTGTTGGGGTCCCTGGACTTGGAGGGCCTGGGCATTGCTGACAGGAAGTGTTCCTTCCGGTTTAGTCCTTCATGAGATGACGGGGTGCCGCTTTCCTATGACTGGATCCTATAAATCTGGGGTGGAGGGGGCCTTTGAGCCGTGATGCAGCTCTTGGAACTCACCCCGGGCACTGCAGATCCCAGTCACTCCTCAGCTAGGGGCTGTGTCCTGAAAAGGCAGAGGGAGTGAAGGCTGTGTAGTGGCATCTACGGCATCAGCCAGCTCCAGCCTCTTAGAGGACAGATTGGGTTGGTCCCCCACCTATGGCTCCATGTGCAAGTCCAGTGGTTAGTTTCTTTCCTGCCCTTTCCCCTCTTCTTTGGACCCTCTGTCCCCTCTCCCGAGCCCCTTGAGCGTGTAGACTCCTTCCATCCTGCCTGGCTGGGCCCAGGCTCTCTGCCTCTCCTCAGCTCTCCCCGCCCCACTTGAGTACCTCTGACTGTGCATCCTGCCCCCGCAAAAGCCTTGGTTGTGTTGCAGGATGATGGCTCTGAATCCTCAGCTTCTTCCCAGTCACCCAGCCCCCCACACCTTTTCCCTGCTCTCCCCCTTAGCGCGCTGCGCCTTCCTCCCTGAACCGTCACTGCTCGCCCTCCCATAGGCCTTTGCACACACTGCTCCCTCTGCCTGGAATGCCCTTCCTCTCTTCTTGCCTGGCTGCCACTGCCCCTTCCTTCCAGAATCAGGATCCTGAGAAGGGCACCGAGGGGTCCTGGTCACTGCCTCTTGGGCTCACCTGGGATAAAGGGACACAAGCTCACAGAGGGCGAACACGGGGATAAACCCGAGAAGGGAGGGGCAGCCTTTTTTCTCTTTTTCTTGGGGGTCACTTCTAGAAGGACATGGTGAGAAGCTGCCGTGGTGGGCCAGGAGCTCCTACAAGGAGAAACAAGAAGCCAGTTTCCCAGCCTCTCCCGACATCCTCAGAAAGTGTTTGGAAGGGGAGGCGGACACGGCGCTCCCCACTGTAGACCGAGGCTGGAGGGGGCGTGGCTGGGAACGCCCCGCCTCCTCAGGCTCAGATGTAAATCGGGACAGGGTCGGTGGGGCTGTAATTAATGCCACTCGCCAGCTGCGTGACCTCGGGCAGAGGCTCAAGTTTCTTCATTTGTAAAATGGGAAAAATA